GAAAGTTCAGTGTCTTTACACTATTACTTTCCTCTTGTACTTATAATTTTGTACTTTAATAAAATGTACAAGACATTGTAATAAATAGAAAATTTAACATGAAATATAAAAAAGGCATTTATAGAGGACAAAGGTTCAATTTCATTCTAATAAGATACATTTAGTCTATRTACCTAAAGATTTTATTTCTATTGCTTTTAAACAAAAAACAATAACATTGTTTTTAAACCTTAACTATAATTATCATATTATTGGGTATATTTTAATTATGAAATATTCTGATTCCAAAATTTGATTTTGAAATGATACTTATCTATGATAATGTATATAAACAGGGGCGGCTCTAGCTTTTTAAGCGCCCAGCGCAAGTATTATTTCGGCGCCTTTCACACTCTTTTTAAACATATCAACAGGCCATCACCCGCGCGGCCTTATGATTTAGGTACCCCTGTGCTTCTGCACTCATTGACCGTATCTAAAGCTGTCTCTGGAAGTAAAGGTCATACAAAATAATTAAATGAGGATTTATAATCTGTTTAAACTTGAATCACATTTTTTGCTCTATACAAATATGATTTACATTATTTATCAATTTATGATTATTAATTGATTAATAAGGTCTACACACTATCATTACATTTTAAACTGGTACTGTAACCCATGACCTAATCTGTGTTCATACTAGCTCTAGTATTGTGTGATTATATAGTTTATGGTATCAAAGTTTCAGTCATTGTAGGTAATATTAAAAAATATAATACTAATTATTAATTATAAATAAAAAGTACCTAATACCTAGTATATAATATTATTACACATCAAAATATTTAAGAATAATTGATACATATATATATATTTCAATTTCATATGTGTTGTGTGTATATTATTATAAACATACTATACTTTATTATAAACAAATGTATTTAGTTGAGAATCATAAAATTAAGACAATGGATCTGTTTTATGATAAAYGACAACTGACAATATATTAATGTATATAATTCATTAGCACACATGCAGTTAGCTATTCAAGTATCAAGACTAGCCCATTGTAAACATTCATGAAGTTAATTACGCAGCTTTATTTTATTTTGTATATTATGTGTATTATTAAAATAATGCTTATTTATCATAAACACAAAATGCATAATACAGGGTGTCCCGTGAGGATATACCCATTAGCTGTAGAGGGGGACTTGCCATCCAAGTAAAAGCCAGTATTTTGAAGYTTTGAACGCTGGAGTGTAATATAAAAAATATTCAACTATCTATCAAAAAGTTAAAACTTGAAAATTTAACTCAAGGTTCCCCATTAGTTTATATACCAGCAGTTGGAAAATATCGAGGAAAATATAAAAAATACATGGGAACATTTTTTTTTTATAACCATTTAAAATTCAAATTTTAACAACATTTATTTAATTGAAAATTCACAAATTCTTTAGTTGTTAAAAATTTATAAAACGTTTAATTTTTATAGTCAAGGATTGAAAATTTAAAACAATGATCTACATAAATAGTTAATTGTGCTACAAAAAAAAATCTAAAGATTATATGCACAAAGTTTTTATCATAGCTATTTAAAGTTCAAATTTGGATGAAATTAAATTATATTAAATAACCAAGAATAACAATTTTAGTTATATTGTTGTTATTTAATGAATTATTCGTTAGTACTTAAAATTTCTAGAGTATACTTTATATTCTAATTTTAATGTCGTTTATGACTTTTATTATTACTTTATAATAAATTGTATACAGGGTGATTTTTTTATCGAAAAACACTCATTATTTAAAAAAGTATTAACTTTTTTCAAAATATTTTTTTACATAGTTTCAATAGAATGACATCCACTTACTCGCTTTTTTTTAAATTGAATTGATAATTAAAGAAAAATAAATATAGCTATACTTGTGCTATGAGAAACAATACATACATCTTATGCTTCTAAACAACTGCGCTCCTTTGTTTCAATACAAAATCTCCCCACCAATAAGCAGTGGTAATCATAAATTAAAATGCTTCAATRAGAACTGATGTCTGATCTAGAATGTTTTGTAGTGAGAATGCATTAGCATTATATTAAACAAGTTTTTRTATGCCATAGTTTAGATTATACCCTGGAACATTGTACTCTTAGAAAATTCTTTAAAAATTAAATATGATATTTTGTAATTTCATAAAAAAAGAAATAGTATGTGCTTGCATAATACCTATGTAGCATTCAATATTTATTAATATGCTACCTATTGTTGTTTTTTTTCAGGTATACTTGACTACCTTAATATATCAGAAATTCAAATTCTAATTGATGATATTATAACATCAACAAATTATAAATTCTCAGAACATGGACAAAGACTAATACATTTTATTTTATACTTAAACACCGAGATGGTAAATTGTAGTTGGGTTAAAGAAAATGCATCGCTAAACCTCAAACAATATGTACATGGCAATACCCTCTCAAATAATCTATACTATAAACTTGTGAAAATCTTGAATTTAAAACCATTTATATCCGAAATTATAATGTATACTCCTTACAGTTTTTGCAGTGATTTAATTGATATTTATTTAAATAAAATAAAAGCTATGGATGGACTTTCACAGTTAGTTGATACAGAAAATCTAGTTATTTCTTTGATGAAATCTGTTAAACGTGGACCTATAAGATCTAATTCAGAAAGTTCTGTAGTCAGCCACTTCAATCAAGCCATGCAAGTATTTGGCAAAGATTATTTACCACATGATATAAGGAGGCTTGATTTTGAAGATGAACAAAAAGAAATAACAAGATATAATGGATTTCGGGTGAAAAGCATATTTAACATCTTTATAGAGATGATTAAATATAGAAGTGCTCCTGATACCTACAATCTGCATCCATTGTATACATTAAAATCATTACGTTCACCTATTCCATCAACAGATACTGGAAATATTTTGTTTAAAAAATGTTTTGATGTAATTATGTACAAGTGTATGGATATGTGCAATTTTAGCATTGATACTTGGATTGCTTGGTATGAAGTAGAAGTTGTTGAAGAAGATACAAATCTACAAGCAGCTGTTGGACATCTTTGTTTTGAATTATGTAGTTTAATAGATRATGGAACTATAAGTGAATCCTTATTAAAGGACTTCAGGCCAATTCTTCGCAATATAGCCATAGAAAAGATTGATTTTAGTAATATTGATATCACTGACATTGATGCAATGGCTAAACGTGTTGAAGGTTCTTCCAAATTTCATCTCAACGCTTGGGTAAAAAAAATGATTGAAAACCCAGACGTTTTTGTTCATAACCGTGCTATTCAAGTAATTGGCAACTACATAGACTGTGTTGATTACAACTGCTTCAAAGCCATCATTGATGTTAGTATGGCTTATCATAAGAATGGAGGTGTGATTTCTGAAGCTGTAGGAAATGTAATATTTAAAGGACTCAAACACTTGGATTTAGAAGATACATTGTGTATTCTAAGTCATGTTATGATCCACTATGCCGATTGTACATTTTATATATCAAATGATTTTGATGAGCTATTACTTTATGTTGTACGCAATGAGTTTGATGAGAATATTGATTCACAAGTAAGTCCTTCAAAATAATTGAAAAACAAAGTATAAATATTTTTCTTTAATATATTAAATCCCAATTTCTTTTTTCAATYATTTTATAAAATGTTACTATTTACAGGAATTACTGTCCACATTGGTTTGGCTTATTATACAACAACCAAGGAAAATGTTGAATTTATTAATATCTCAATATGTCACCGGTATTTGTGGATTACCAGTCAAAGGAATTGAATTTAAGAGATCATGTTGCCACGATGGGTTGATTAGTATTCATGCACACATGGATCCTTCTTACATTTACCAAGAATACATGAACTGGTTGTCTCCTGATTTAAATTTATCAAGAGACCAAAAGCATAACCTTCGCCAATGGGTATGTCTATTTAATTTTATGTAGCTAAAATATACTCTATACAGGATAAGAGTGAGACAGTCACTCAGCTGACCAAAACTAATTGTTATGATGCATCGTCACCCATTTAGAGGATGTCAATACAATATTTGTTTCTCTTTCTCAGACCCAAGCACATCATAGATAAAATGCTTTTACCCAAAATTAATCTTTATGATTTTTGAGTAACTTTCCTATATTATCACTTATTACAAATTTATAGAGTATA